ACATACCAAAGATCAGCTCAATATCTGAAAGCGTTTAGAAGAAAATTGCGGAAAACCCATAAAAATTGAAAAGGCCGTAATTCCGTCAAAAATCAGTGAAGCGGAACGAAATGCAAACTTGATCTGTAACTCATCAAGATACACTCACATACCAAAATTCAGCTCATTATCTGCAAGCGTTTAGGAAAAAAGTGCGGAAAACCAAGTGGGACAGACTGACAGACAGACAGAGGGACAGACGGACAGACAGACAGACGGACAGACGGACGGACAGACTCAGAGGAAACCTATAGTCCCCTCCGGTTTCACCGGTAGGGGACTAATAAGGGAAGTTGACGATAGAGAAGTTGAAGGTATCACGTTTAACATAAAGTTTTGTTGTAAGGTTATTGAACTTTCTGACATATTGCATTATATCAAATTAAATCTATAGTCATGATGCACATTTCATTTTATAAGATGAAACATGTCAGAAACAGAAGGGTCATTACCATTAACCTCTTTTTCAACTAAAATATCCAAATACAAAACAGATGTCTCAGATTATGTGGTGCCTTATTATTTCGAGTTCAAAGGGATATATCGAGTTAAATTGAACCAGGTACCGTTATTTTATTTTCCAATGCCCTTTTGATAATACTTTAGAGAAATCAATGAAATAACAAATAACTAAAATGAATAAGATACTAAATTGAAAAAATATCAACCTTCGAACAAAAATTATTATACCAGGTACTTGGTGTAGGTTATGCCCCCTTTTTCCTTCTTAAATTTGGGATCGACATACCCTTTTCCTATATTCAATACATGTAATCGATAAATGAATGTAACCCTTTTGTGAGCTTTTTTTTTTAAAATCTCGTTTTCGACTGAATAAGATATTTAAAAAACAGCTTATAGAAATAAAAAGGTTATATTAAATGCATATAAGAATTCATGAACAGGGAAAGAGAGTGTGTTGATCCCTGATTTTCAAAAAAATGGAAAAGGAGGGGGCGCCCTTTCCGTAAATGCCTGTGAAATGTATAGCTTACCTATAGGCGCGGATCCAGGATTTTTTTTCGGGGGGGGGGGGGGTCCCATCCCAGTCAAAGAAAAAAAAAGTAAAAAAGGCAAAATCCATTTCCCAAACGTGAAAAACACCTATTTCGTGGTGGTGATGGTGGGGTCCACTTTTTTAAGGAGGGGTCCGAAGTCATATTTTATTGGCTTCAGTATATACTTCAAATAACTCTGCAAATTCTAGAGGGGGGGGGGGAGGGTCCGGATCCCCCCACCCCCGTAGATCTGCGCATTACCTAAATTGGTTTGATGATTTGGCCATGTCTATCGGCCTGGTTCAGATGGTAGAGCAGCTTGACAAGTTGATGGAGGGGTCCAGGGTTCCATATCCAATATCACTGTTATAAATTGCTAATATATAGGTTAATAATAATTACATAATACACGTATCAGGATATAATGATTTTTTCTCACACTTTTTGAGGTTACTAAATCAAAAGTTAGTTAAAATGCTTAATTATCGAAAGACACCATTATTAATATGATAATATTTTTTTAACGTTTATTTTTCACTAGACAATAGGGCTTACAATTCATTCAATTTCTCTGAAAAATCTTTGATAGAAGGACTACCAATTACATTTTTTATATTTAAAAAAGTAGGTTAATCTTGGGTATTTATTTGTTTTATGAACCGTGTCAAATCACACAAAACTGATCATACTAATCATTTTGTGATTAAGTGCAAAAAATAGCAATGGTTGTTGTATATATAGCCAGGTGATTTAAAAAGATCTATATTTATCTCTAACCAGGAAGTAAATTGCAGTTCTCATTCAAGTCTCGACTAAAATCTCACTGCGGGTTTATTGACAGAAATATATTTAGAGGGCATTTGTGTCAAAAGTAAGTAAAAGTATATATGTAGGCTACAATTCTTTTCAGAAAGTAATCTGTACTACTATTGCAAGAAACTGTGAAACACTGAATCTATGTGTGTGTAAATCATACATATACACTGTAGTACATTGTAGTTACCCATATAATACTGTTGGTTATGTACAGATACCCGATGGGCGTGGTAATAATGACACGAGGGAGCGTATAGCTCCCAAGATGTCATTATGACCACGTCCATCGGGTATCTACACATAATCAACAGTATTATATGGGGTAAGTCACTTGTAGTACCAAAATTTACCAAAATTGATATCTTTTTTTTTTTTTATTTTAGTCATAAATGTAGCACGAATTTATTTTAATTGACTTACATGTGTTATTGAATATTCCGAATTCGTGTATTTTAAAATGACAAAATTAATTAATTCAAACCCTTTGAACTTAATTTTATTTTTTTATGATGATTTCAAACACGAAAGGATTTTTTTTTAAATTTACAATAGATATAATTAAAACTTGTTGATTTAAACACGTTTTTAGTTTTCTTAGCTTATAATAGATCAATATATATATAATGGAATCATTTAAGAGATACGAACAATTTCATTAATAAAAAATGTTCTAAGTATTCATTAGGTTATGTCTTCATCGATGAGAATACAAATGTTGTTTAAAAGAATGAAAAAAAAATCTTTTTTCTGCACTTGTCAGCGTCTTTATGAAACGTTAAGTTTTTAAATAATAATTGTCAGTGTTTTGTAATTTTCTATTGAATTTGGTATATCTATAACATATGATTATTTAATTTAAAATTGTGGCTTGGCTCTATGTAGTGTTCTTTTGTCCTGACTCGAAGGATGGAGTTTACAGAAAAGTGTTGTTTATGTACAGTAACCCACACTTTTAACCAAAGAAATAACAACTAGCTATGGCACAAATAGTTTGAATTCTAAAAGAATTTAGCCTTTTATCTTGCAATTGTTTTATTTTTAAAAATAATCTACGATATTACTAAGAAAATTTGATTGGAATGTCTTACTACATATAGTTCAGAATGTAATGTTAATTACATGTATAATGCATAAATAGTTTCTATGGCATGTAAAGAACTTTTTTTTTTAAATTTCAGATGGCTTTTTCCAAACCAAAAATACCAGGCACTGCCCAACACTTTCTAGAGTGTGGTACTGAAGATTGTGAGAGAAATTGTGAATTCTACTGCAATTCCTGTCATCATCGCATGTGTGAATCATGCAGAGATCAACATCAGAGGATTTCGGAAAATAAAAACCATGACGTTGTCCTTTACCAGCAACGCAAACGTCAACTTCCTGTGAAGAAGTGCAATATCCACCCCACTAAAGATATAGACATTCTCTGTAAAGAATGCAATATTCCTTTATGTTCAAAGTGTTCGACATTACAAGAGCACCATAGACATGTATTTATTGATTTAGAAACTATCTACACAGATAAGTTTGAACTTTGCCAAAAGGAACTCTCTAAAATCAATAATTACCTTGTTCCAACCTCACAGGATTTACAGAGAGAAGTTAGGAAAGATGCCACAGAAGTTAAACAGATCATGGACAGCATACGGACATCCATGAAGGCTGAGGCCGAGTCTCTCAAAAACATGGTGGACACAGTGCACTCAGAAAATATGGAAGAATTACACCAAATAGAGAAGTCATTACTGGAGAAATTAAAGAGCCAAGAGAAGACATTTGATGACTATATTGCCTATCTCAGTGACCTTGTTAAAGAGTTCCAGAGTTACCTGTCCTCTACTGAGCTCACTAACTTCACAGCTAAACTTCCAGAGAACTTAAAAATAAAATCCATACCAGAAACCACAAAACCCATCATACCAGAATTTTCTTCAGCTCAATACAACAAAAAAGATGTTGCTAAATTACTGGGGAAGATAACTGTAACAGATAGAAAGGGTGAACTAAGAAGTGTAGAGCCAATGGAAATTCCTCCTATTGCTACATCAATGAAATCTACAAGTGAACAGACAAAACAAGATAAACATGTGAAATCTGACAAGAAACAAACAATGTCTCTATCTGTCTCTGTCACCAAGGTCAGGGAGTTCAAGGTACCAGGTGTTGATGATGTATACCATGTATCACTAGATCAATCAGACAGACTCTGGATCAGTGACTTGTATAGTAATCTTGTCCAAACAGATCTACAGGGGAACGTGATACAGAAGATAAAAACCAGTGGTAGAAATGAAGGTTACCACACAGTGACACAGGATGGGGATCTGATCTTTACAGACAGAAAGAAGAAAGTTATCAATAGGATAACACAGGATAATAGTATCACTGAATTCATTAAAACTGGAGACTGGAAACCACTCAGCATACACTCCTCCCACATCAATGGGGACTTACTGGTGGGAATGATGAAGGATAGAGAGGCTAAAGTCACCAGGTACAAGACAGGAAAAGAACTACAGAACATACAAAGGGATAACAAAGGACAGAGACTGTATGAAACACCATACTACATCACAGAAAACATCAATGGAGATATCTGTACATCAGACTTTAATAAAAGAGCAGTAGTGGTGGTGAATAAATCAGGACAACACAGGTTCTCCTACACAGGTCAGGAGTCAGGGTTCCGTCCCTTTGGAATCTGTACTGATGTCCTCGGTCACATCCTGGTGTGTGATGATTACAGTGACACTGTTCACCTCCTTGATCAGGACGGTCAGTTCTTGTCTCTATTACTCACACAACAACAAGGGGTATACGCTCCCCGTAGTGTGTGTGTGGATGATGAGAACAATCTCTATGTGGGACAACTAGGCAACACACTGACAGTGTACAAGTATATAAAGTGATTCATATTTTGTTAAAAACATACTGAGTACATACAGTTAATATTCTGAACTGAAGAAGTTCTAGTGATTTTGTGAACAGAAATTAAATAATGTTTTTTATATTGATCACTGTGTTGTGATATACCTGTATATAATATTACATAGAATTTAATGTACTCATGGTTAAATTTGTAATTTCTGCAAAATATCAGTCAGAATTCAAAGCTTAGCCCAAATAAATGATTACATAAATGCACTATTTTTTGTACGTTTACAGTAAATAAACAGAGTATTACTGAATCTATTCATTTTGAAACACAACAACATTAAGTCAATGTTATATTTTAATATCTGAACTGCACATTTGGTCTTGAGGTCAGAAATGGATAGCTGACTAGATCTAATGAAAAATTCATTTTCTTCCAGACATTAGTTATGAATAAAAAAAATGGATCATTATAATTTTGATATATATGCTAACTTATACATGTAGCACTGTGAAAATTACAACTAAACAAAAATATGTCATATGACCATACAAACAATATTAATTTGTGGAAATGCAATGAAAAAAAGATAAATTACACCTACATACAAGGACCGAGGAATGTGTGGTCCTAAATGCCCATTATATTGTCTATATATTTGTATAATATACTGAGAAGTTCCTGAATAATAGCATTATACTTCAACCTTAACACCTACAAACATACAGATAATCGATAAAAAAAACATACAAATATTCTTGCTAAAGATTTTCTATATAACTTATTTAAATTAAAGAGTAATTACAGAAAAATCCAAAATTGAAGATATTAAGTGTATATCTCAAAAAACAAAATATACACCCCAGTGCAAAATCGGACAAATTCAGCAACAAGTGGGATATCTAAATACATTGAATTAATGCGCTGTAATATTGTATAGGGGTCTATGTATCAAGTCAAATTATTTGATTAGCCAATCATTTAAGTAGAGAATTACCGTCAGATCCTACTCCACATACGGATATATGCTTAATATCATATTAATGTGATTTCTATAAAAATTAAAAAAAGATTAGTCCACAATGGAACAGTTAATTTTCATTAAAAAATTGCAGATAAAATATACAGATGTAAATTTAACATCAACATTACTTATTAAATCTCATACTTGTGCAAGAATTAAACAAAACGTAAAGTTTCCAAGGAATGCTGATTACATACTACATAACCATTTTGTAAAAATAAATATCTAATCTCACACAACCTGTTTTTAATGAATATCAATATATAATGCCTTTTGTTCTTGTAAACAGACCAACAATTTGAGACTTCATTATACAGGAGTACTACATAAGGCACAATAATTCACAACTTTCATCTGCAGAAAAATCAAGTCTAACCAAACTGAATACACGTACATTATAATGGCACAATATTCTGAAAAAATTGAAAAGTACATAAACTTTAAAAATTTACTTTTTGTTCATAATGTCAAAACTTCTTAAATACATGTATTCTTATATTATCAGAAAATAATAAGTTTATGAAGTGTCTTGGTCATTATTAACCTGTGACAATACCTCACTTTTTAACTTTCAATGTCATTTCTAAAAATACACAGTAAACAACATGGTCAAACAATAAATATAATAAATATCATAAAAATAAAACAATATACATGGATATGGAATGGATATGTACACAATATTGACAGCACCAACAATTCTGATAGAATTAACCGTAAATACACAACCTTATCATGTAATATCACTACCACAATAAAAATAGAAGCATAGCATATTATCAGTTAAAACATTGAATTTATATCAAATGAAAAAACTAGAAAACATATATATGTACATACTGGCAGTTTGTAATGGAATGTGGTGGGAAAATGCAGCATAAGAAATATGAAAAAAAAAGTCTGATATTAGTAGGCCCACAAAAAAAAAAATTCGTTGTAATCTACATAAAGGGAGTTAACTGCAAAGTTGTAATCTACATAAAGGGAGTTAACTGCAATGTTGTAATCTACATAAAGGGAGCTAACTGCAAAGTTGTAATCTACATTAAGGGAGTAACTGCAATGTTGTGATCTACAAAAAAGGGAGTTAACTGCAATGTTTAAATTTAAAATGTTTTCAAAAAGTAATACACCTTGTAAAGAGAAAATACTCAGATTCCAAACAACAAATCCTGTAGGAATTAGGACACATAGGTCAGATGACATGGGGGCCTTACAGGGAAACACCAGGATGGTTTGGCAGTGAGGTCCTCTCAGGGGATTTCTACATTAATGCCTTCATCATCAGCTAAAAAGAGTCAGTGTATTAAATCAATTTAAGTTAAAGTAGGAATAACTACATGTACGTTTTTAATAGAAGTGTAAAACGGAAAATATATAGATGTACATAAAAATGTATTCAATATATTTCTCATAAAAGTAATCAAAGCATTTATATGTACATGTAGTATAAATTTCTATGTAATAAATTGCTCGTTTTTTTTAATCATACAAAGAAATTGATGTGCGTTCTCTCATTCAAAGATTGATAAACAGTACAAAGACATGTCCCTTTGTTCCTACCATCAAATGCTGCATTAGCTATCCCTACATTCTGATAAACATGTTCCTCTTCCCTGCCCTCTAACACACACAGTAGACACTGGTGTATACACACGTACTGTTGCTGTAAAGGAAATAAAATAGTTTAGAATAATGTATAAAGATTAGTGTACTTATAAGAAAATTCTGCAACAATCCAGGAAGTACTCTATAAAATAGTGAGATTTTTTTGTAACAAAACTGCTGGAAATTACCCTCCCCCTACCCTTTTCCAATTTTTTTTTTTTTTTTTTTTTTTTTTTTTTTGAAATACATAAAACAATGGTAGTGACCTGTTTTATATTTGCATAAGTGACATTTTACTATTCCATAGCTAAATAGTATGAATTAACAAAATTTTAAATCAGCTCATATTTAATGTAAGCAAACAATCTGAGCCATAAAACATATTTAAATGATGTCAGCATATCCAAAAGTACAATAATTTTTTACTTTGTATTGAATATTACATTGTACAAAACATTAATGAAATATGTGCATTTACTAAACTACTAAAATGTTTTAATTATGGGTATATTGAAGCAAAGTCAGCTTTTCCAGGTTAATTTGTTGAATATAAAGTTTATAATTTTATGTGATTTGAACTCTGTGTGTTGAGTGTAGCCCCTGACGTACCTCTGTCTGTACCATCCAGACTCGTTCCTTCCTCAGGTCATGTACAATGGAGAAGATGTCAACCATATCACGCTCTTTAATTTCCTGTAGAAGGCGATCCAACACAATAAAGGTGCCAGATCTCCCAACTCCAGCACTGTTAACAATCATCACAAATAATGGAGGAATTACAAATCCATAAGACCTTACTTTAATTCCAAAATTTCAAAATGCTTTCTCACAGACACTATATTGAAAGCTAAAATTAACTCACCTACAATGAACCAGAATGGGGCCACATTCTCTAATCATCTGATCTCTAACAATGCGTACAAACTTAATCAAAGTTGGAGGCTTTTCTGGTACCCCGAAGTCTGGCCAAGCAGTGAAATGAAAGTGCCTGATGGGTCGAGTGACGTTACCCTTTTGAAACATGAATGAAAACATAAATACAGCTGTAGCAGCCAAAAAGTAACAAGACATGTTTGTGAAACACTTATGCCCCTCCCCCACTTTGGACAAATTCATTTCAGTTTGTGCAACCTCTGCAAAGAAAATGAGAAAATGAACAGAACTGCAAATAATGAATTTTTCCAAGTCGCATAACTCTGTCAAAAATTGCTTGATTGTACCCAAAACAGAACCTGACCTAGATATTCTTACGATAAATCTGTATACCAAATTTCATTTCAGTATGTGCAACCTCTGGGAAGAAAATGAACGGAAACTGTTGGTAGACCTACAGACAGACAGACCGAACGACTGACAGACAGACAGCAGCAAAGCAATATTCCCTCCCTTCTTCAAAGGGGGGAATAAAAATTTTAAAAAACAAAATGGCTGTTGAACTTACATAAGCTACCCTCATTTCTGTGATGGTCCAGGACGGGAAACGTGTCTCTGAGAGAACAGCCACTTGTAAATCTCCATAAAACATGGCATCTGAATTAGTAGGCCAGTAGTGATCACATTTCTCCTACAAAACAAACATGTCACTTGGGCTACATTAAATAGTCAATACCAGTCGCTAATTAAAGGCATCTTTCATCAATCTATGCTTACCCTGCCTTTTTCTGTACAGCGAGTCAACATGACAATATTACGGACGTTTTGCTCCCAGATCATTCTCCAGAAATCATCCCTGGTGGAAGGTAGTGGCCCCTGTGTCACGATGTATTCTCTCTTGGATGTAAATCCCTTCAAGAACATTTATCATAGATTATTTCAGAATCTACAGTTGTACTTTTCTTTGAGATCTAGATGTGCAGTTAGTAGGACATTGTTAATTCATTTATATTTAGCTGGGTATAAATTTCATGATTCAGGATATACATGTATTTTTAATAAAGAGGAAGGATATTTTCTTCTCATGCATAAATTTTGTATAACACCCATCATACCGGCATATAGTTAGCATTGATGTAGTCTGATCCTTCTTCATCATCTGTGGGGAGGAGTTTGACACGGGAATGGTCGTAGGGTAAAATATTGGTAAAACGATTCTTCCCCCGATTGACTGGGAGCTCTGCTGCAGAACAGGACTGATCTCTTCCTACTTCCTTCAGATCCTGTAAAATTAATCACAATCTAATTACCTGTGATCTAAACATGGACTTCCCATACAATTATGAGTAAGGGAAGATAACTCTGCTATATACAAACCTCAAATTGTTCAGCATATTTAAAATTTGAGTCCATACAATTATGAGTAAGGGAAGATAACTCTGCTACATACAAACCTGTATATTGTTCAGCATATTTAAAATTTGAGTCCATATAATTATGAGTAAGGGAAGATAACTCTGCTACATACAAACCTGTATATTGTTCAGCATATTTAAAATTTGAGTCCATACAATTATGAGTAAGGGAAGATAACTCTGGTACAAACAAACCTCAAATTGTTCAGCATATTTAAAATCCGAGTCAGCTGACAATGTCTTAATGTACTCCTTGAAGTCTGCCACCTTGAACTCATGACTGCAACAAAGTAAAAGTAATAAGTTAAAACATTGAAAATCCCTTTCTGTACCTTTTAATCAAAGCACTTTAAAGTAAATGTCCAGTATATTCAAATTCTTTTTATAAAAATATGATTAACATTAACATGTATTTACAGGAACTTGATTATTTCAAAGAGACAATATCTATATTAAACTGAAACATGAAGAAAAATAGATTCATTTGAATGGAAACCTTTTCTTGTGTCGACTGAAGCTTGTTCTGGGAGAATGACCTGGTGGTCCCTCTGGGCTCTTTTTCTGTAACCGACTTCGGAAGAAGAAGATGGCGATGATGAAGACAATGACAAAGACAGAACAGACGACTGCTGCGACGATTGCTCCCACACTGGCTTCATCATCTGGGGCAGGGACTATCCCTACAGCAGCAATAGGTAACACAAATCTCAACACAACAATTTGATATTTTATAAATTTTTATATTTTGAAACCACTACCCCCTTCTCCTCACTGAAGACTTTAATCCTTCAAACAATGAACAAAACATTTTTTTTTTTTTACAATAAATTAACACTCTGGAAAAAACTGGTAACAGTGTGAAAAGGTGACTACTGTACTACGTGAAGTTTTACCAGTGCTGACAATGTTAAAAGATGATAACTGTACTACAAGAACATATTTTACCAATGGTGACAATGTTAAAAGATGACTGACTGAACTACATGATTTTTTACCTGTGGTGATAGGATCTGAGTAAGCAGTGTCAGCGTATCCCCCCGCTGTGTAAGCCCGCAGTCTGATGTAGTACTTAGTGTTCTGTTTGAGTGGACCATTACAGTACAACACATTATTACAATCTGCCTCCACACCAATCTCAAACACTTTAAAATTCTTCTCCCCCACACTCCGCCTGGACCGAGCTCGACCGCAGGAAGACGTCAACTGGAAGAAGTCCGAGCAGTTCCGAATGGTCTGGTAGGCTTTGATGTTGGGGTTGATCTGGGCAGCCTTCCAGTCGGGCAGGGTGCTGGTTTTGATGTGCTCCTCATCAGGGTCTGTGGCTATAATGACTGTGTAGGCCTGTATACTGCCGTACTTATCAGAGAAGGCATTTGTAAAGTTGGCCGTAATGGTGGAGGGGGTCACAGTTTGACCTCCTGAGGTCAGCTGCTTTGGTTTTGTTTGACTCAAGGTCAGGCTGTCTTTGATAGGAGGATCTAAAAATTGCAAATAAGCACTTATTTCTATCTCACTAGATAACATTACATGTATCAAGAATCAATTATAAATCGTTCTCAGATTCAATAAGGTAGTGTTTTCATGTGTGACTGTGAGTTTGATGTTCATACACCCATATATCTATGCATAAAGACAACACTGGAAATTCTTGGAGGGTCACAGATAAGTTGACTTACTGTAGGTGCGTAGAACAATTTCAAACTTCGCTGGAATATTTTCTATTACAGTTCTAGCTGACACCTGCAACAAAGTTAGTGTTTGTATGATTTCAAAAATGTTTAAGTCAAATTTTTAGATGCAGTTATTTCATTTCAATTAAAATTCACATCACAGAACTTACTTTGAATGTATATTTGAGTCCAGCCTTAAGGTCTGTGAATTTCTCCCTGATAAGCTGGGCAGCCATAAGTTCTGTGGTCACTCCAATGTCCTTCTCACCTTGGTCCATAATGTGCCCCTAAAACAATCACTGAGTCATAACAATGTCTTTTCTAGTATAACATCTCTGTACAATCCTAATTAACATAATTATGTATTAAAACAGTCAAACAAACTTTCTAAGACATAATCACTCACAAACTCATCCTCTGCAGTGTAGGCTATGTGATAAGAACGGATGATTCCATTAGGATTTCTAGGGGGTGACCAGCTCACATTTACAGTCCTGGGTGAAATCTCAACCACATTCAAGTTCTGAACAGCAGAGGGTGCTAAAATAGACACAAGTTGAATTGATTTCAAACTTTCAAAGCACAGGAAAATAAATTTTCACTAACAAGTACTATACATCAAAAGACATAAAACAAGAGGCCCAAGGGCCTTAACGGTCACCTAAGTATAATGTAACAATCCATAGATTAAAACAGAACAAGCAGACAAATAAAGTTATGTTGCCCAAAAAGCAAGAGAAATAGGATAATCAGGGACCAGCAAAATATTAATTTAGTACTCAATAACAAATCTTAAAAGTTGATCTATTTCTTTGCCTGTACTTTCCCCCATTTGTCACCATCCTCATGCGGACTTGACAAAACACTATCAGTTAACACATTTCATTCCCCTCACATTGGCTTCTCTCGCTCTTTAAAGATTATTTATTGTACAAAGATATGGTCTATATTGTTTAACACTTTTTCTGACCATTAAAAACTATGAAAGTACTTTTGTATTAAATATTTTGAAAATTTCTGTTTTTTAATTGATCTTTTAGGTTACATTATTTACAGTGATTAACTATTATAGGTGGATAGCAAAGGGGAATAACTTCTTCCAGTAGAAATTAATAAATTGACCAAAAGGTACAGAATTTCAACATCTGATAAAAACATCCCTGCTTATTACAACTTTTTATACTCTTTTTACCTCTTATATGTCCAGGAGCAGAGAAGAAGATATTCAAGGAAATAATCCATTTTCAATATAGATTCAATATAGCCCCACTCTAAAACCAAAGCCCCTGACCCAGGGGCAATGATAATCACGACACCATTTCCACAGAGCTGCCCTTGCTCATCATAACTATATACTTGGTTTATCTGCTAAATACCCAAGGACAGAGAAGTAGATTTCAAAGAAATAATGCACTTTCACTATATAATCAATAGAGCCCCACCCTAACACAAAAACCCCTGACCCAGGGGTCATGAAATTCACAATTTAGAAAAAAGAATCAATGCTTATCATAACCAAGCACTTAGTTTGCTTAAATAATACCTAGGAGCTGAGAAGAAGATTTTCAAAGAATTAATGCATTTTCACTAGTACATGTATATAATCAATAGAGCCCTGCCCTAACACCAGAACCCCTGACCCAGGGGTCATGAAATTCACAATTCGGAGAAGGCATCAATGCTTATCATAACCATGCACTTAGTTTGTTTAAATAATACCCAGGAGCAGAGAAGAAGATTTTCAAAGAATTAATGCATTATGACTATATAATCAAGAGAGCCTCATCCTAACACCAGAATCCCTGACCCAGGGGTCATGAAATTCACAATTTTGGAAAAAGAATCAATGATTATCATAACCATGCGCTTAGTTTGTTTAAGTAATACCCAGGAGAAGAGAAGAAGATTTTCAATGAATTAATGCATTTTCACTAAATGATCTATCTAGCCCCACCCTAGCACCAGAACACCTGACCCTGGGGCCATGAATTTCATAATTGGTAGAGGGCCAAATGCTTATTACAATCTTGCCAACAGTTTGACTGTTTGATGTCCAGGAGTAAAGAAGAAGATTTTTAAAGATTGCATCAATTTGGTGATTTTAGCCCCACCCCTGGGGCCCTAGGGGAACAGGGACCATGAAATTCACAATTTTTGTTCCCCCTCACCCAAAGATGCTATATGCCAAAATTGGTTGAAATGGTTCTAGAGAAGTTGAAAATGTTCAAAAGTAAATTACACGATGGATGGATGGTTAGCAAAAAGTCACCTGAGTGACTCAGGTGACCTAAAACTTTGTCAATTTCTAAATCAATCATATCCATTTCACCTTGACTTTCAACCAATAGAATTAAAGATTGACATTGAAATCTGTAATCTGATTGGCTGACCTGATTCTTCTGTCCTGGAGGAGATAAAGAGGGAGCTGTGTTTATCCCCAGCAATGGCTTCAATTTCAAACTGATAATCTGTGTATGGATTCAGGGGACCGAACTCTAGCACAACTGTTGTCTGGTTTGCTGGTCTTGTTTGGGATCCACAACTTTTGGAACACGTTACACGGTACGAATCAACATTTCCATTTGGTTTATGGATGGTTAACTTAATATAGTTAGCTGACTTCTCTCTACCAACATATGGTAGCTCAGGCACTGAAAAATGAAAAAAAAAATACACATATAAATAAATTGATTGAAATGAACATTCTTTTGGTGATAAATAAAATTGATAGCATAGACGACTTACAAGTACGTATCTGTATAAAAGTGGGAGGACTGGACTGGTCCCCACTGACAGCAGTCACTTCGATACTGTACTGGGTCCCTCCCTCTAGACCTGAGAACACCACACTGCGATCTGTGTCAGTTCTGTTCTTATTCACTATTGTTGACGTGGCCACCAGCTCAAACACATAATACTCAAAGTAGTTGTCAGTGTCAGTGTATAAGACTGTGATGTTTTTACTTCCAACATTTCCCTCAGACAAAACTGTATTTCTGGCTCTGAAATAAGATTATAATATTAAGTAAAAGTAATTCTATTGCCTCAATGAAATTTTATGTAAAGATGTATTATGCTAATTCACATATCAATGACTTTCAAATCAAGAGAAATGTTTAAAGGATGAATTGAATGAAATATAGGTTGATGCATTTTATTTTTTATATTACTTACGGACAGAGACATTCAATTTCACAGACTTGGAGACAGACTTTTGCACAATACTGTAGATAGTGATATTATAGGTGTGTCCAGAAGTAAGTCCAGTAATATTGTATCTAACAGTGTTGTTTGATGAGTTGGCCTGGATATTAACTGTGTTAGACACACTGTCTATCAGACTGATGTACGTGAGATTCCAGCTCTCTACGTAGGTTGTGTTACTGTTGTATGTCCACTTGAGAGAAAGGCTGTTATTGGTGACAGATGTTACTTCTACACTGCTAGGAGGTAGGGGAGCTGAAACATGAATCTTATATTAATTCTTGTTTACTTTTTTACATGCATTAAAGACATATACAAAGGCAACCCAAGAAATTAGTATAATTTTGGACGCATGGATTGTACAGAAATTGAGATTTCACAGAATCATGACCTCATGGTAAAAAGTACATTTAAAGGATATCTACCTTTTACATATGTACTTACGCATTAGTGCAGACACAACTGAGGGCGGATTCATCTCAGAATGGCTGACAGCAAACACTACCATCTCATACAAGAGTCCAGGGAACAGGGAAGAAAGAACGATTTGTGTATTGTCACTGATGTTTTTCTTCCACTGACTGGTACCAGACAAAGTAACTATCCTGTATGCTGTCGTTGCCTGGCAACCATGTCAGGGTGATGTCATTATGGGACGAGGTGTATGTCAAATTCATTACCTTGTTGGGTTCTACAATACCAAACATAACAGATCACTAGTACACATTCTGGAATTTTTTCCTCTTTTCTTAAATTTCTTACACAATTATGGCACTAGATTATAATTTCCATGCATCCCCTTACTTGTAGTCTTGTTGACACTCTGCCATGAGCTGTAGGCTACAAGGGAGCCATTCCCTGTATCCATGACCTGTTTTGCCTGAATGTACACAGAGTAATGGTGACCTGGCCTCAGATTTAGGATGTGTGTCTCGTACTTAAATTTATCATGGAGAGCAAGAACCATGGGTAGAGATGTATTACCACTGTCTAACCAGTCATGGTACTGAAGCTTCAGGTACAAAAATTAGATTGTAAAGCATCAGCATTAGAAAATTTATTGTAAAAGAATTCTTTCATATGTACATGTAATCTTTAAGCAGAATGAGAATTCATGTAACTATAGCTTATCATAAAGCTGAATAAAGTGCCCTGCCACAGCATGATACGCCCGTCAAATATTGTTCAATTGTCATAAACAGTTTAGAGTGCAACAAAATCATGTCAACTTTGATAAAAGGATTTCAATGATTTTTCCATTCCTTATAATATTTGTTTATACATCTCCTGTGGTGTAGGCATTAATTATAACAAATATTATATTATAGATCCTCAACTGGTTGTGTTAGAGCTTGACAAATGCCCCTCCCCCCCCCCCCCAAGCTTTCAGATTTGCGAGACATGATGCTCTGAATTAGTTGATATTTTCAAAAGAATTAAATAAAATTATCATATTAAACAATATCAATTTAGTCTTACAACTTAATCTATATCAAATTAATATTAAAAGTAAAAGGCTGGCCATCAAATGACATATGCTATAAACTGACAAGCAGTTCTTCTGTCTAATTCCCAAAGGACACAGATAAAAGCTGCTTGATCAGAGATCCTCTAACAGAAATGATTGAGACAGCTAGCCTTCCTACACTGAACTCATTAATTAATCTTTAACTGGATGCATGTCCACTCATTACTCCAAACGGATGAATGGATCTATACATACTATCTGCTTTGTAGTGCAATAAAAATGCATATTTATGTCATTCTGATATTAAATTTGAAAACAAAGATTTATAAAAAGAAAAAAAAACTTGTGTAATCTTGATGCAACATTTTTAATAAGGTCCCAGCATTACTCTTAGATTTTTAGGGACTATCTTCCTTAATTAAAACATTTTTTTAAAATACTCGATTTTTTTTTAGATTTAATGTCTGACTGGTTTAAAGCTGCAATTCATACAGACAACAAGCATGCTGATTCCAGTACCCCCCCCCCCCCCTACAGAGTATAATTAGTTTTAATTATATTATACAATATCAAATTAGTTTATAATACAATATCAAATTAATTCATTATACAATATCAAATAAGTTTTAATTACTTTTCACCAAATTCATTTTAAAAGTTATGCTAGCCAACTATTTAATCCAACATGGCTGATTTTGTTTGCCCAGTTCCCAAGAGATATAGATAACACCTGCTTGATCAGAGATGCTCTACCAGTTAGCTCCTCACACTAAACTCATTAATATCTCTCTAATTTGACATTCAATTTTCTGTTATCAAATTCTTCTTGACCAGTGCTTGATAATTACACCCATGGGAGAGGTGGAATTTCTCTTGTAACATTACATTTGTTATAGTAGATTGTAAAGTATATAATGAAAAAAATAAGTATTTTCTTGATTTAACATTTTTTTAATAAGGATACTGCAACACTCTTGCATTTTTGGGGATTGTGTAATCTAATAGTAAAAAGACAATTTTTTGTTTTTAAATTTCACTTAAAATAAAGGTCACAGTGACCTTGAAATAGGTTGCGACACACCTTCTACCTTAGATGCATAAATTGGCCAAGTTTGATAATTCTAAGTCCAATAGTTTTCTAGTTATGAGCCGGACAGGATTTTTCCATATTTGGCCATAGCATCTTCATTAAAGGTCAGAGCGACCTACTTTTAGTGCGCGACACACCTTCTACCCAAGAAGTATCAGCTGACAAAGCTTGATAATCCTAGGCCTAATAGTATTAAAGTTATGAGCCAGACAGACAGACGGACAGACGGACGGACATGAACCCCATAACTTAATACGTCCTGTCTAAGACGGGCGTATAAAAAACCATTTCTGATAATTGAGAAATTCACATATTCATTCTATCATAAAATCATATAGATAGTTTATTCCTTACAATGAAGTGATGTTGTTGTCTGGGGTCAACTGTTCTCCACTCCACATTGAGAGTGTGGGGGTCACCAGAGGTCACATTCAAATCTTCTACAGGCATTGGTTCTAAAAATATAAGAAGTGGAGGAGGGTTGGAGGAATATATTAGAAGTACAAGACATGGAGATGAAGTACTTTGTAAAATTAAGATTATAACTCCACTTTATATGTTTTCAGATATTTTTGGCTTACCTGTGATTACATGAACACTGGCCTGGTCACTCTGGGTGCCCTTGTTGACCGTGGTGATGGAAATCTTGTAGAGCTGACCGGGGGTAAGGTTAGTGAAGGTGTACTGTAAAATGTCACTGGATCTGGGAAAGATAAAGACATAACACTCTTTATATAATTTGTTATAGTTGTACGAAGCAACAAGTACATATATGTGCCAAAAATTCAAATTTATCCTTGAATACCACGAAAATATACTCAATGAAACCACTATAGTATACTCACTCTGGGATGGAAATGGGAGACTGTGCATGACGGGCGTCTATAGCAATCTGGAAGGTATCAAATGTACTACCATTAGGTCTGGGCCAGGAAATATTAACTGTGTTAGTTCCTACATGATCCACATACAACTCAGCCACAGAGCTGGGGTCTGAAAAACCAATTGAAAAAAATACTTTACTGAAGCTCTGTAAAATACATACGAAGTGGTAGGTAACTTTACATGGATTTATCTTTTAGTCTCATAACCTTAATTCCTCCTTGGTGCAGTCTGCGGTCATTTATGTAAACTTTGATCTGAAAGTACTTATTTGTCAGCTGACTGGGTGACCTATGAACCTACCCAATAATCATGTGACTTTGATCTGAAATTAAAATACTTACTTTCCACAGCTGACTGGGTAACCTCTGAACGTAATCATGTGACATTGATCAGGCACTACTTACTTGTCATGGCTGACTGGGTAACCTCTGAACTCATCATGTTGGCTACATGTGACCTGATATGGACTGTGTAGGTCTCCCCAGGGTGTAGGGAGGTAAACCTGTGATAACCTATGTATACTTTCTCTGTTACATTTATTGGGTGGGTGTGGTCTGCTGTCAGGTACAGAGTATAGTAATCCACAATTCCATTGGATGGTGGTGACCAATCAACATCCAGTTCTCTGCCGCTGATAGGAGTTATGTTCACCATCTCTGGTGGATTTGGAACTATTTTTGGAGAAAAAGATTTACATTTATTAGGGTTGCAAAACTAGTCTAATCTTGAAAGTGGGTACACTGTCCTTTTTTTATCAACTACATATCCATTGCTCTACTTAAATAAAACAAGAGGCCCATGGGCCACATCGCTCACCTGAGCACATTGGCTAGGCAAAAGCACAAATCAGTTCAGTATTGAAAAGATTACCCGGGGGGGGGGGGGGGTTACTTGAGAAGATTTTTAAAAAATTTTCCCATATATTCCTTTGTAAAAATTTGCCTACACTACCTGAGGATGCTTCCATATCAAAATGACTAATCATGGTTTGCAGTTCTTCAGAAGAAGATATTTTCCTATATATTTCTATTTAAGACTTTGTGGCCCCATCCTACCCACGGGGGTCATGATTTGAACAAAATAGAATCTACACTACCTGAGGATGCTTCCACATAAATATGATCAATCAGGGCTTTGCTGTTCCTTAGATGAAGATTTTTAAAATTTTTCCTATACATTTCTATGTAAAACTTTGATCCTCCATTGTGGCCCCATCCTACCCCCGGGGGTCATGATCTGAATAAATTTGAATCTACCCTACCCGAGGATGCTTCCATATAAATATGAACAATCTGGGCTTTGCTGTTCCTAAGAAGAAGATTTTTCCTATATATTTCTATGTAAAACTTTGATCCTCCATTGTGGCCACGCCCTACCCCCGGGGGTCATGGTTTGAACAAACTTAAATCTACACTACCTGAAGATGCTTCCATATAAATATGACTCATCATGGCTTTGCTGTTCTTGAGAAGAAGATTTTTAAAGATTTTTCCTATATATTTCTATGTAAAACTTTGATCCTCCATTGTGGCCATGCCCTACCCCCGAGGGTCATGATTTTAACAAACTTGAATCTACACTACCTGAAGATGCTTCCATAGAAATATGACTCATCATGACTTTTCTGTTCTTGAGAAGAAGATTTTTAAAGATTTTTCCTATATATTTCTATGTAAAACTTTGATCCTCCATTGTGGCGCCATCCTACCCACGGGGGTCATGATTTCAACAAACTTGAATCTACACTACCTGAGGATGCTTCCATGTAAATATGACTCATCATGGCTTTGCTGTTCTTGATAAGAAGATTTTTCCTATATATTTCTATGTAAAACTTTGATCCTCCATTGTGGCCCCGCCCTACCCCCGGGGGTCATGATTTGAACAAACTTGAATCTACATTACCTAAGGATGCTTCCATATCAATATGACTCATCATGACTTTGTTGTTCCTGAGAAGAAGATTTTTAAAGATTTTTCCTATATATTTCTATGTAAAACTTTGATCCTCCATTGTGGCCACGCCCTACCCCCAGGGGTCATGGTTTGAACAAAATAGAATCTACACTACCTGAGAATGCTTCCATATAAATATGACTCATCATGGCTTTGCTGTTCTTGAGAAGAAGATTTTTAAAGATTTTTCCTATATATTTCTATGTTAAACTTTGATCCTCCATTGTGGCCCCGCCCTACCCTCGGGGGTCATGATTTGAAAAAAACTTGAATCTACACTACCTAAGGATGCTTCCATATAAATATGACTCATCATGACTTTGTTGTTCCTGAGAAGAAGATTTTTAAAGATTTTTCCTATATATTTCTATGTAAAACTTTGATCCTCCATTGTGGCCACGCCATATCCCCGGGGGTCATGGTTTGAACAAACTTGAATCTACACTACCTGAGGATGCTTCCATATATATAAGACTCATCGTGGCTTTGCTGTTCTTGAGAAGAAGATTTTTAAAAAATTTTCCTATATATTTCTATGTAAAACTTTGATCCTCCATTGTGGCCACGCCCTACCCCCGGGGGTCATGATTTGAACAAACTTGAATCTACACTACCTAAGGATGCTTCCATATAAATATGACTCATCATGACTTTGTTGTTCCTGAGAAGAAGATTTTTAAAGATTTTTCTTATATATTTCTATGTAAAACTTTGATCCTCCATTGTGGCCACGCCCTACCCCCGGGGGTCATGGTTTGAACAAACTTGAGTCTACGCTACCGGAGGATGCTTCCATATAAATATGACTCATCATGGCTTTGCTGTTCTTGAGAAGAAGATTTTTAAACGTTTTTCCTATATATTTCTATGTAAAATTTTGATCCTCCATTGTGGCCCCGCCCTACCCCCGGGGGTCATGATTTGAACAAACTTGAATGTACACTACCTGAAGATGCTTCCACTTGAGTTTCATCTTTCCTGGCCCTATGGTTCTTCAGAAGAAGATTTTTAAATGATGCATTTATTTTTTCACTAATTCTTAATTATCTCCCCTTGAAAGAGGGCGTGGCCCTTCATTTGAACAAACTTGAATCCCCTTCACCCAAGGATACTTTGTGGCAAGTTTGGTTGAAATTGGCCCAGTGGTTCTGGAGAAGAAGATGAAAATGTGAAAAGTTTACAACAACGACGACGCCAACGACAACGACGACGACGACAGACAACGGACAAATTTTGATCAGAAAAGCTCACTTGAGCCTTTGGCTCAGGTGAGCTAAAAAAAGACTAAAATTTGTCTGCTGTATAGATGCAAGTAAATTAAGACCTGATGCAGCATCATTTAATTTGTTTGCATGTATCTTTATTTAGATAAACTGTATACACAATTAATGATTACTGATTTTTTTCCAACCTTGATAATTTTAATAGAACCTTCTGACAAGTACCCTTGTTTTTAAATATGAGGGTTGTCCCAGAAAAATGTGAACTTTTTAAATATTTCACAAACTGCCTGACCAAAATTATTCATTTTTGGCACAATGTTTGTAAATGATATTTCTGTCATTTTGACCAAATACTATAAGGTTGGAATGTCATATGCATTTAGAAACAGCATTTAAAGGGTGTTAAATATCAGTGGTTGGTGCACGGCAATTTCTTGACTTTCAAAATTAGCATTGCCATCTATGTCTTCTTTATTACAAGTCACACTATACGGAAATATAATGTGACAAAAATTACATCCATAGAAACTGTACAATCTGGAGTACTTGTGTGTAAAAAAATTAATACCTTGACATCATAAATAACAAAAATATGATGTTATATGACTGTTAGTTAGTTACTGTCAAAAACGGCGACGTCAGGAAATAATGCGGTACACTAAATTATTACTTAGTACTGTGTGGAGAAGGGTATGACTCCTGTTTATATGGGAAAGGAGCTGGAATGAAGGAACAACAAAAATACATATATCCAACACTCGTTTATACATAGTAAAAGAAGTTCAAAGATGGATGGACTGGTTATCCGATGGAAGAAGCGTTTGGTAGACCAACAACAATGATGACAAGTAGAAAAGTCTATCTAGAGCTGGACGTCATACGTGGAGACTGCCCTTAACTATGCGAGCAGTTAAGTTTATGGTTGGGTTGGGAAATTGTCTATTAAAAGAACTAATTCCTTGATTTATTCCTAACTGTAGTATGTGTGAAATGGATAACTCGGTAACTAAAAGAGAATCAAATGCAGTATCGAATTTCTGCTTTGAACAAATTTTTAAAGACGCACGATTCCTGAACAAATTCAAAAACACCACGAGCTATGTTTTGACGCCGTCAGAGTTGCACTGGGAGCTATTTTGAATGATTCGTTAGATTCGTGAGAGAAAAATGTTATTTATAGAGATAATTTCTGTAAATTATTTAAAAATGTTGATTATGGAGCATGCCAATTTTTAACTTTATAATATAAGTGAAACAAAAAATATTCACGTTTTTCTGGGACAACCCTCGTAAATATTACTTTTTTGTTTTCTATGTAACTGCATCCAAAACTTTCAATTACTTCACTGCTTGGTTGTTAAATCGTATGTTTTGGGGATCAGATTTGTACTTACCTGTGAGTAATTCTGCTGTGATCTGGGGACTTAGCTTTTTCTGTTTGGCAGCTCGGACAGCTACAGTGTAATTCTTCCCGAGGACAAGGTTATTGAAGGTCACTTGTCTGATCTGAAGGTTAGCTTGCTCGCTGCAAAGATAAAACACTTTGCATTCACATAAACCACTGAGGAAGAAAGTCCATCTCTAAGTTAATATCCTGCATGTGGCATTTACTAACCCTTATACCAAGTAGTTTTCATTTACAAAATTTTCCACAATAAAAAGTATGCACAGAGGTACATGTGCACACAAATACATTGTATAAGCATATCAAACATTGGCTGATTAAAGTCCATTCTGCAATTCAGTCTAGATATTACATACAAAGGAAATTAGTTTATAGAGCATTGCTTAAATATTTTTACATGTATTCAGTCTTATTCCATAAATGTAATTTTTTTTAGCATTTTAACTGTCAGAGATAGCATACACTGGAGACTGTGTGTTGGTTTCCCTGGGAGATATACTACACTGATAATAATCCAGGCCTCCAGAGGTCACTGGCATCCAGGTCAAGGTCACACTGGAGTTGGTGACCTCTTTTATCTGCAAATGTTCAGGACTGTTAGGGTCTGAAATCAAGGGGAAAGAACAATTATTATTTTTATAAAGGGAGACATATTTCATTTAATACAAGAGTGCAAGTAAATGTAAAACAAACTGCCCACAATCAAAACCGTGAAAAAATATCACCAACAAAAAATTATAACTGCATACATGTAACAAATTCTGTGGAATATATGTCACTTTCTTCCCAGATTGTTCTAGTTGTAACAGAGAAGTTATACAAGGTGCCGGCTGTAAGATTCCACAGGAATATGTCTGTCTCATCGTGACTTAGCGAGATGTTTTGATCAAACAGCAGCTCAGATCCATTCTCCTTGAACACCTCTATGTTGTATAGGTTGAAGTAAGAGTAAGTAGGGGGGAGGATCGTAAGGTGTAGATGAGAGGTGGAGCTGGAGTTGTCTAACAGACCCAGGACTGTCTGAGGCTTTGCAATTAGTCATAACATGTAGTTGAAAACAGTAATATAAAGCAATACAATCCAGATTCCAGCTGCACAAAACACCTGCTGATATTTATTTTCCAGCTAACACTTTGTTAAAAACTTCATGAAAATTTTAAGTAGCAAGCCTACATGTTACTCAGTCCAAAACAAACTTTCAAAAAAAAAGAGTTGAATCTTACTTGTGGAGTGAAATGTGCTGTGAGGGGCACTCTGTCTCAGTCCTTTGGTGGTGTAGGCTTGGATCAGAAACTTCTGACCGGGAATCCCTGGGACATCCACCAGACAGAGGTGGATCAACATTCTACAGGTGAGCTTCTCTGTCTGCGGGGCATTGTTAGCGTCATTGTAAGTGGCAATCAGGAAAATGCCATCCTGTAAAATAATGAAATATTGAGAGACATGTAATGATGACAGTCCTTATGGTCATTAAAGTACTCTTTATATTATAAATTATATATTTCAAATAGGGATGTCAGATCGCTCAATATTTGATAATCGGTTAATGTTACTTGGAGGATTTTCCAATGCAGTACCTGGGTACTCGGTAATATTATATAAATACAAGTGTGTTAATTTTCTTGAGCCCAGTTAAGCCCTGTTACACCCCTAAGATGTTTTTCTATTATGTTTATAATGCATGTATCTTGTATATAAACATTAAGTCCAATGAAAACAATTTTTTGGTACTAAATTTATTCATCAAATAAACACAAAAAACAGCAATTAATACACCAATAATTACAAACGGTTTACATTTCTATGCATGTTTGCTACTGTATACTTACAATATAATTTAAAAATGATTTAAAATAATGGACCTCACTTAAATGATGTTCATAGAAAACAAATTTTTGAAGCCATCAAAAAATAAAGAGCCAGAATATCAAAGAACAATGTATAATGTTGTTTATGTACTATGATTTCAACAGCTCTCAAGTGTACTTATGTGATTATTACCGAAACAACTGAGGGCGGACTCATCTCACAATGGCATACAGCAAACACTACCATCTCATACAAGAGTCCAGGGAACAGGGAAGAGAGAACGATTTGTGTATTGTCACTGATGTGCTTCTTCCATTGACTGTAGTCACCTTGGAGATGGGCCTGATACCAGACAAAATAACTATCCTGTACAGTCACTGCCCAGCAACCATGTCAGGGTGACAGTCATTATGGGAAGTGGTGTATGTCAAATCCATCATCTTGTTGGGTTGTACAATTATTGTACATCAAACATTACAGACTTCAAAAACATCTTACTACAATTCCACCCTCACCCCCCTCCCCCTCTTACATTTATTAACTAAAATGTATCAAGTCCGTCCACTAACTTAAAGCCTTGTTGACACTCTACCAGGACCTGTAAGCTGGCCTTAAACTTATTTCACACGGACTTTTTTACTGCAACACTGAATTGGCGAAGAGAAACAATTCCAATGATGCTGATGTTGAATGATGTTAATTAAATGATGTGTGACGGTCAGACGGGTTCGAACGCTGGTGGCCAGATAACTCAGTTGGTAGAGCAATTGACTGGAGATTCAGGGGGCCCAGGTTCGAATCCTGGTCTGGTCCGCTGCATTTTTCTCCTCTCCCGTTACATTTGGTGCCGTGCTATGCCCTGGAAGTGACAGGTGAGAGGCCTGCCAGGGAAGAGCCTGGGTTTGTGTCTTCGGGGGCCGAAGACCTTTTAGGAGGGAGGAATGTGGCAGTCAGACGGGTTCGATCGCCAGTGGCCAGATAGCTCAGTTGGTAGAGCACCTGACTGGAGATTCAGGGGGCCCGGATTTGAATCCCGGTCTGGTCCGCTACATTTTTCTCCTCTCCCGTTACATTTGGTGCCGTGCCATGCCCTGGAAGTGACAGGTGAGAGGCCTGCCAGGGAAGAGCCTGGGTTTGTGTCTTCGGGGGCCGAAGACCTTTAAGGAGGGGGGAATGTGGCGGTCAGACGGGTTCGATCGCCGGTGGCCAGATAGCTCAGTTGGTAGAGCACCTGACTGGAGATTCAGGGGGCCCGGATTTGAATCCCAGTCTGGTCCGCTACTTTTTTCTCCTCTCCCGTTACAGATGTTTATTGTACAGTCAGCAGACAAAAACTGAATTCTTAAAGTTCTCAAACACAAATTCATAATAAGTATGTGTAAATGATAATCAAAACACATTAATGTATATAAATAACTTTTGAAACAACCTGTAGCGAAACCGGCTAAGAAAAGGCATGATCACAAAACAGTAGACTGGTATTGCCTGTCTCTATCGTTCGAAAGATATCGTATATCGCGCATATCAGACAGGCAAGCCAGTCTAACAAAACAGGAGATAAAGATCTATAGGTTGGCAAGCGGTAAATCCAGTCTTCCCGACTCCCGACGGTCCCGGATTTTGGTTTTTTGGCGATTTCTAATTTATTGGTGCATAGAATTTCTTCAAACTTTTCAGGGACATTTTCTAGGTTTAAATGAATTCATTAATACATAAAAACTTGAACAATTTTATGTTTTTAATACTGAATCAGCATTATCGCCTGCCAAAAAGCGGCAAATCTAGTACTGTGTTAATCGCGAATAAATACAACAAATTGAGGTATAAATTTTCAAAGAAATAAGAGGAAAACCTCATTTACATGCCAGTAAATTTGCATGCACAAAAAACACACATTTCCCCCCCCCTTTTTTTTTGTAGAACTCTTTGCCACGTCATGTTTGTGTTCCCAGGCTCTACGATATGGACGTGGTTCTACCTCAGAGCCCTTTTTTTTTTCTTTCTTTTTTTTAAATGTGAATTAATATTTTATTTATTCATATTAAGTTTACTCTTTTTTATTTTGTAAATTTTTATTTTTATTAAATTTACTCTTTTTTATTTTGTAAATTTTTATTTTATACCATTCAAGAATTTTTTTATTATAGATATTATACAACCGAGATCGTTTCTAAATTCAAAAGCTTTGTATCGAAAGAAATTTGTTATCTAGAGCATTTTTGATGTAATATTCTAATTAAATTACATTTATATTTCATTTCAACCACATATTTTGGAATTACGCTTTCTTAGATTTAAAAAACATGCACACAATTTATTTATGCAGTATTCCCTGGCACAACCTTTTAGCGGAGGGGGAATAAAGCGAGGGTTACTTCAACTAAATAAAAGCGCATATAAAAATGAAAAAAAATAAACTAACAGCTACTATTTAAAAGCACTACATGGACATATGAATTAAGGTTGCGGCTATTTTGCGTATATACCTAGCAGTATTCCCACACAACCGTCAAGCGGAGGGGGAATAAAGCCAGATGCAAACTACCTAAAGCTACTTTGTGAATCAATACTCATCTTTACATCAGATCTTTTTTTCAATTTTTACAAACTCCACAAACCCATTCAAAACTGCGAGAGTCCTCTGGCTGGATCTGGCACATTGCTGGTGAAACTATTTCCCGCATGCATCGCATGATAACATGTCATCAAAGACATCTGGTAGGATGAACTCGCCTGCACAATTCACTGCAAATGATATTGTTGTAGTCTTTGATAGACTTAACCTCCTTGGTGGAACAATTGCTCTCTTTCTGGGAAATGGAGTCATGGTTTGCTGAATGATGCAGTTCATCAAGTGACCTCTCATAGCTGTAATGTCAAAATAAATATCTCTGGGGTCCTCCTTGGTCCTTGCAAACTCTGTTAGGAATGCCAGAGCAAATACACCACAGTCTACAGCATTGATTTGCTGTTGTACCCTTGGAACATTTACATTTATTTTTGAAATCTTCTGCGAGATCCTGTAAATTTTGTACAGCTGGACTTTTAAGGAATCTGTTAGTGATGGTTTCTTCCCTGCGCAACTGTCATACAAATTAATGCTGTTCTCTCCTATTTTGATAGAGACAACCCAGTGATCTTACCCTGTATGATGAACCTGTGCCGCTGTTTCCTCACTTAATGTTTTGAAAGGCAGTGCATATTTCGAAAACTTTACTTACAAAGTTTAAATTAAACTCTGAAGACAAACAGAATCAAGAATGTTTACAAAAATTCGGGAAAATTTAGTTACCTTCCTTGACTAAAGAGTTCCACATAGGGAAAATAATTAATAAGCGGAAAAATAATAAAAGTAGAACAAATCCTAAAACTACGAAAGCCGGATAGGCTCATTTTTGACAAGACAAAAAAAATATTAAACTCGATATAAAGAGATAATTATCTCGTAATAACGAGTTAGTATCTCGTTATAACGAGTTAGTTATCTCGTTATAACGAGATAATTATCTCTTTATATCTTTATAAAGTTAGTTATCTCGTTATACCAAGAGATAGCTAACTAGTTATAACGAGTAAGTTATCTCGTTATAACGAGTTAGCTATCTCGTTATAACAAGTTAATTACCTCGTTTTAACGAGTTGATAATCTCGTTATAACAAGATAATTATCTCTTTATATCTTTATAAAGTTAGTCATCTCGTTATAACGAGTTAGTATCTCGTTATAACGAGTAAGTTATCTCGTTATAACGAGTTAGCTATCTCGTTATAACAAGTTAATTACCTCGTTATAACGAGTTAGTTATCTCGTTATAACGAGTAAGTTATCTCGTTATAACGAGTTAGCTATCTCGTTATAACAAGTTAATTACCTCGTTATAACGAGTTAGTTATCTCGTTATAACGAGTTAGTTTTCTCGTTATAACGAGTTAGTTATCTCGTTATAACGATTTAATATCTAGTTATAATGAGTTAGTTATCTCGTTATAACGAGATAATTATCTCGTTATAATGAGATAAAAATTGATCTAAAGAGTTGATATATCTAGGTAAAGAATAGACCATTATTTATAGGAAATATACAGAAGCGAGTCGATCAAATTTATTTGAATTGTGCGTGATAAAGTTTTTATGGAACAACAGCATACTAGTTTTTTGTGTTATGCCTTTGAATAGTATTGTTTATTGAAAAGACCGAAGACAAATTTACGGAAACTTATGACCGCCTCATGTTGTTGTGTTATACCTTAAAATTGCAAAATAGAATTAGTGTCATCTTCAAATGGAATGTATAGCCTATAACGTCAAAATTTTGTCAACTTGTAAAAAGGAGATCAGGAAAAAAAAATGATATTCTCTGGCTGATTTAACTGCCCTGTTCGAGCTTTCTTGACTTTGTTGAAATAATGATAATTTTTGCGTAATATTTGTCGCAATAAAAAATGCATAGAAACAATCCCATTATTTTATATCTTCCGAATTAATAATGTCGATATGATACCATTTGTTAGGCTTTAACGTCCATATTTTGATAATTCCTTGTCTGTGAACAAGGAATACCAGTTCAATTTTATCGTCTTAAAGGGGCAAGATCAAAATTCAATGTCTGACAAAAAAACTAAATTCACGTTGTTTTTATCATCAATCCCTCCTTCCCCTCAATAATAAATATGATGAATTTCAATAACTAATACTGTACTTATCACTTAATAATTTATATATTTCTTTTGTTTATTAAAAGATAGAAACATTTTAATTTACCAATTTGGCATGAAATCTCATGTACAATGTGTATTTTTTGCGCTATTATTAATGTGGTAGATAAAAAAAATTGGGGCTCTTTATTCTACGGAAGCCCAATAAAAAGGTGAAGGTCAGCAGGCTGAAATGTAGTGCATGTAGGAAATTCACATGCCTCACTTTGACAATAGTCAAAAAAGTGGACAAGTTTACAATATGATACGCATTGATTATAAGGTGTATTTCAAGCATAAATTATGCCTAGAAATGTTTATTGTATCGGGAGACAGGATTTTTGATATTTTCACTCGTGCTTCGCACTCATGAAAATATAAAAAAAAAATCCTGTCCCACTCGAGAGATAAATTCCATGTCAACTACAAAACATTGAATATCCTCTATTTATTACCCCCACCCCCCAAAAAATCATCAATCTCTTTTTCAAATAAAAATTATATGCTTGTAAAGTATATATAATAAATATTGTGATGAGGAAATTAATTAACGACATTGCTTCCATGTAAAAAGATTATAAAAGTGAATTGGCTTTGTAAACTCTGTAAACTTTTTTTTTTGTTTTGTAAACTCTGGTTTGATGTTTTGTCACCATGTGGTAAACATAGGATCCGCCAAATAGACGTGAATCTCAAATAGGTCTACGTGAATCTCCACAGCTTGAACACCCCCCCCCCCCCAAAAAAAAATAAAACAGTGAATCATGACAGAATATCAGATAAAATGTCAATATCAGCAGATCAGATCTAACGTCTTATTACTTAGAAGAATGTAATATCATTTTTGCTTCATCATTTCTCATCATCGTGGACAATCTGCATAAGCTTAGTCACAAAGTTCAAGGGGGGGGGGGGGGTAAACCAAGTAAAATATTTGACAAGCAAAAAGAAAACAAAAGAGATTTGATATTCCAACTACGAGTATTCGCCATTATTTTCGGGAGATATTTACTCAGGTAAAAAAAAATCTGGAGGAAGAGGCACAAAGATACTCTTGACCGCCCCCTTCTCAAAAGTGGTGGTGGGGACATTAGCCCCCCTATTACTACGCCTATGATTTAACATCTGATGTCTCAACATCCCCCTTCTTCAAACATTTATGAATCTCAAAAATAATATATGTATCACACTGTAATCGTATATATTATATGTTGCATAAACGCCTGCGATATGTTGCACTTATATTGTCTCTGATAATTATTTAATTTTAGCGGTATAGAAATTGATATATGAAAGTGTATAAGTCGTCCAAAACATGTCGAAATAGTGTCATTCATCAGAAATAGTTGTCCTGAATAAATTGCCAAAGTTTAAAGCAAGTATATTTGGCAATGTTATTTTAAGAAAAATATCGCGTCCTAATGCAACAGTTTAAGGGGCCGTTCCCGAATTAATGTCTAAATGTGTTCGCCTTAGAGTTGCTATACTTATCAAAATATGATTATTGACGGCGAGATAGTTTCAAGATTTAATCATAAGTAAACCCCAGAGCAAATTAAATTTTCATTTATCAATTGTTCAAGTTAAATTTGACTGATAATTACTAGCTAAAATTTCACTGAATGGCATTAAAAACTACAGCCATTTTTATTCCTATGTTGCTATTAAATCTCGAAATAATGAAAAAACTATCTCGTTATAACGAGATAACTAACTCGTTCTAACGAAATAATTATTTCGTTATTTTAGGAATGACTCTAATTCTTGGCCAAATTATTCGAGTATAACCTGGTTTGGGTCAGTTTACGCTTTATAATCCGCGAAGCGGATTATAAAACAGCGTAAACTGACCCAAACCAGGTTATACTCAAATAATTTGGCCAAGAATTAGAGTCATTCCTTATAATTTAATTCTAAAATCATTAAACAACTGTGGGTGTAAAATTTCGTTGCTTTTTATTAGTTCAAATTTGCCGCTCAATAATACAACCCTAGTAACGGAAGTGATGGGAAGCAAGGGGAGGTAAAAACTGATACATAGTCCTAGCAGCCATGTTTTTTGTTTACATGTGGTAAGATCCGAGTTACTGTTTGAAGCTAAAGGTACATTTATTAAATCTGGAATTTTCCATGAATCCCGAGGACTGGAAATGAGAAGATTGCATGGATACAGACGATTCAGCTGGTTGTCAGGGGGGTGTGTCCCCATACCAAACCAGGTTATACAGAAATAATTTGTGTTCCTTTTTGGATATTAACCAATCAGAGGCTAGAATACAAACAAAATTAAATTATAACGAGATAATCATCTCGTTATAACGGGATAACTAACTCGTTATAACGAGATAACTAAGTCGTTATAACGAGATACCTAACTCGTTATAACGAGATAACTAACTCGTTATAACGGTATAACTAACTCGTTATAACGAGACAATTATCTCGTTATAACGAGATACTAACTCGTTATAACGAGATAATTATTTCGTTATAACGAGATTATCATCTCGTTATAAAGGGATAACTAACTCGTTATAACGAGATAACTAAGTCGTTATAACGAGATAATTATCTCGTTATAACGAGATAACTAATTCGTTATAACGAGATAACTATCTCATTATAACGAGTTAATTTTTTTTTAACTTGTCAAAAATGAGACTCTCCGGCTTTCGTATAAAACACTATTTCCTTATCAATTCAATAAATAAACGATTTTTATTAAGTTATTTTAAAATTTTAGACATTATTTGATCATTAAAGAATCAAATTGACATTTAAAAAAAAATCAGATATTCATGCTCAGAAGTACATGCATGTACACTAATATGGGAACAGACACTGACCTCTAAAAATATAAAATGTGGGATAAGGCTCCGGGCCCATAAAACTTAGACAAGCTCACTTTTTTTTACAAAAATAGAACTAAATATTGATTGATATTTGAGCCCCGGATGCAGGTGCA